GCTTCGAACGGCTTGAAGACAGCGCGGGTCGAGGAGTGCGCGCTCAGCTGACCGCGTGATGTTCAGCGGCAGTCAGCGTAACGATACGATCGCTTGGATGTACTTGGATGTTACAAGTTTCCTTTGAATAATTGTTCTTGTTTGCAAGCCTTGTACAAAGTTTTGTTTATATTAAAGAGTTCTTATTATTTGTTCACGGGAGTGTTGCTTACTATTTACGCGGGAGATCGTGAGTGAGAGGAAAACGACGCTTGAACGTAACATTTTGGGGGCTCGTGCGGGATGAATTCCGGTGACGCGTCAACGGCGTCTGTGTCAGGAATACAATTAACCGTTTGAGTCCCAGGGGGTATTGAAAAAACACTGTCGAAGAATCCCAAACAGCGCAACCGCGCTTTCTATAAATGAGTATGAAAAGACCCAAGCAGCGCGATAGCGCTTGTTTTATTTTAGGTCGAGAAATACCAAGCAGCCCGATAGCGCTTTGTTTATTTTACATCGATGAATCCCAATCGGACCAATACCGCTTCTTGTATTTGTTAGGTAACGCGATTCTCGTCTTTTTCTCATCGCTCTGTCACATTTATTGTAGTTTGCAAAGCGATCGGACGTATTCTTGCGTAAGTGTTTCTCATTGTTAATAATTGTGTGTTTCAAAATGATTAGACGAAGCAACGGAGCAACGGAGCAAAAGGAATCCATCCAACATGTTTTGATAAACACCGATGTTACAAATTATAATTGTTACTCTCCATTTAAATTATTTGTTCATAACACAAAAATATTGTTAATTTGTAATTCGTTATTTTATAAAATACATCTGTATTATTACATATGCGTACTGTAAATTTATAAATATTTCAAGTTTTGTTCGATAAAAATTATTGAGAAGATAACAATGAAATAAAAATTTTTATTTTGTAATGTATTATTGCATTATTATAGTATTATTCTACCTATTATAAAATGTACTATTTACATTAAAAGGATCGGTGTGATATACTTGCTTCAGTAAATCTGAGCGCGCGACTTCGACAATCGGTAACGCACCGTCAGTTGTCCACAATGATCGAAATGTACTGGGTTTTCTCGACATAAAATCTGAACAGCGCGATCGCGCTGCTTGGGACTCAAACGGTTAAGAAAGAGGCCTCGTGTAATGACGCCGGAGCAGCCAAGTGAAGTGGAAATGTTGCGGGCCATACGTGAGGAGCTGAACTCGTTACGCGAGGAAAGGCAGCGGCAGCAGGCACGAGAGGCCGAATTCCAGTCGCAGCTTCTTCAGCGGGACGAAGCGCTGAAGTATTTAGAGGAGCGTTTGATCCAGCTAAGTTCTTCTAATAATATTTTTCCGAATGAAGTTAGTTATCCGGTAGGTAGTATGCAATTAGATCTCGGGTTTAAATTAAAAACGGATATTTATGACGGAAGCGTTCCTCTTCATGAATTTATGACGCAGTTTGATTTAATTGCGCATTCAAATGGTTGAAGCGATTCGGCCAAGACTGTGGCTCTTGTTTCGTGTCTTCGAGGAAAGGTACGCTCAATTCTTGACGGGAACATGGAAATCGGAGCGATTTCGTTTTTGGAGATTAAGGCGAAATTAGAATTACTTTTTGGAGAGGGGCTCTCGGCTCAGTCATATTATTTACAGTTCACTAATCGAAAACAAAAATTCAATGAGGATTACGCGTCTCTTGGAAATGAGATTGAACGGTTGGCACGTTTAGCGTATGCGGAGTGTGATTCGCGGTGCGAATCAAATAGCATGCGCGCAATTCATTTCTGCCTTGTCGGACGATTTTGTTAAACAAACGTTACAGGCAGAAGGGGTAAATTCATTAAGATCGGCCGTTGAGAGAAGTATAGCAATAAAAACTATCCAGAGAAATAGTTTCGAAAGGGGGTACCGGAATAACTTTAAGAACGTCAATAATTTTTCAAGGAAAAATAAAAATTTCGATAGAGTAAAGAATAAGCAGATAAAGGGTTTCGAAGGAATCTTTGGGGAACAGCAAGGGAATTTGCGGGATAATCGTGGTAAGCGACTTAGTGGGAAAGAATGCTGGCAATGTGGCGCAAGTGGGCATTTTCGGTCAGAGTGTCCTTCATTAGGTCATAAGGAGAAGGGAAACTTGGTTTGGGTCGAGCTGAGTGGGAGGAGCTCGACTATTAGTAAATGTATCCCCGTCAAAAGACTGAATAAAAATAAATATAATTTTTCTTTTAGGAATGGTAGAGTTGTTGGGAAAGAAAGTTCTTTTTGTTACAAGGGTTTAGTGGATGGTGTATCAGACGTTATCTTCTTGCCTCGAATTTAATGATGATAATGGGCTTCTTCGCTGCGTTGAAACAGAAGCTCTTCGTTGATCGGTTGCAAAGTGGTGAACGTTAGACACGTGCAATAAAATGTCGCTGATTCCCACGCGACAGAAAGTTGCGATAAAATGCGTTTGGATACGGTACAGGAGTTTCAAATCACTAGATTTGTTTTCTTAAAAACAGCTCGTTTAATAATCAACAAAAAAGTGAGTCTCTTGCGAGAATCCGTATAGAGAGTGGGAGACACTTAACTTAGTGCTGCGGTGTACCGGACTTGTGTAAAGAATGACGACGTTGTCTCCTCGGATCGCCTTAGCCTTAATATTTATAGTTCGCGAAAAACCAACCGTGTTCGAGCGGGATTGGTTTAATCTGGATTCACGTTCAGACTTGAAGAGTAACGAATACGACCGTCCTTCGATGTCACATGAAAGAAAACAATGTCTTGTGCTCGAGTTTTTAATCAGTATTCCAATCAGCATTGGATGCTATTGTTTTGACGAATTTACACGAGCTAGGCTCGGCCAACTAGTTTACATACATGTTAGCTGTTCATAAGAAATGGAACAACAACAATTCGGAATGTGACATCGAAGCGTCGATATTAGCACTATTTGGAAGCACTTCTTGCAAATCAAGGCATCCTCTCGAGAAACTTCCAGAAACGTGAAATTTAGATTATCTCGAGAGTTTGTTTTTATACACAGAGTTCACGCACTCGCTTCTTCCATATGAAACAGATGGAGAGGTGTGTAATTTTAGAATTGATACAGGTTCCGATATTTCTTTATTTAGTAGAAAATTGGTAAAAATTTATACATAGCGTTTTCCAGTTAGAAATTATTTTCTAAGATATCCGACTGGGGAAGAGGTAATTAAGAGTGCATTATAAAGTGCTTGCAAGAGTAGATGTAGGTAGGCATAAAGTAGAATTTCCTTTCTTTGTAGCTGACATTTCTGATGATTGTATTTTAGATGTCGACTTTTTAAAGAAGTTTCAATTTGGAGAAATTTTTGAAAAAGAATTTACTAGCAAGATCCGACCGGAAAGGGAGATGTTTATTTGTTCTCGTGTAATTTCGGAGAGTAAGGTTCCGATTTTTCCGCAGGAGCTTTGTGAAAATAGTTCGGAAGGATTGGATGTTCCGCAGAAGGAGGAAGATCTTTGCTTCTTTCTTAGGCGATTTTCAAGACATTTTTGCAGAAGACGTTTCTGCTGGGAACTGTAAAATTTTGGAGCATTCTATCGATGTTTCTGGAGCTAGGCCAATTAAGCAAATTCCTAGGCGAATTCCAATTCATATGCGTCAGGAGGTAGAATCAATTATTGAGGATATGAAACGTCAGGGTATTATAGAGGAATCGCAAAGTTCTTGGGTTTCTCCTGCGGTCATGGTTAGGAAGAGGGATGGTTTGCTTAGGTTTTGTGTAGATTATAGAGAACTGAATGCAGTTACTATTAAAGACTGTTATCCTTTACCAAGGATGGATGATACCCTTGATCAGCTTTCAGGTAATTCTTGGTTCAGTACCCTAGACCTTAAGAGTGGTTATTGGCAAGTTGGGATTCGTCCTTCAGATAGGGAAAGGACTGCATTTTCGATTGGAAATGGTTTGTGACAGTTTACAGTGACGCCATTCGGTCTTTGTAATGCACCGGCTATGTTTGAAAGATTAATGGAAAAGGTTCTTCGGGAGGTGCTTCATAAAATTTGTTTGGTTTATCTAGATAATGTTATTATTTTTGGCAAAACTTTTGAAGAAATGTTGAAAAACTTACGAGAAATATTTATTTGTTTAAGTAAGGCTAATTTGAAAATTAATCCTAAAAAGTGTTCTTTCTTTAGTAAAAAAAGGTAGGTATTTGGCTTACATTATTTCTAAGGAAGGGGTGACTACAGATCCTGAAGAGATTTCTGCGGTAAAAGACTGGCCGATTCCTCAGAGCAAGAAGCAAGTTCGGAATTTTTTGGGATTCTGTTCTTATTATCGGAAATTTATTAAGAGATTTTCAACATTAGCAAAGCCTCTTTATAAATTGACTGAAAGTCAGGAAAAATTTATTTGGACAAAGTCAAGTCAGGAAGTTTTTGATGGTCTTAAGCAGGTTCTAATTTCTTCTCCGGTGCTCAGTTTCCCTTCTAAAACGGGAGAGTTTATTTTGGATACAGATGCTTCTAATCACGGGATAGGAGCAGTTTTGTCACAAAATCAAGATGGGGTTGAAAGGGTTATTGCATATTTTAGTCAGGTTTTAAATAAATCGGAACGAAATTATTGTGTGACCCGTCGGGAGTTATTAGCAATAGTTAATTCTATAAAATCTTTCCATCATTATTTATACGGTAGGAATTTTTTGGTTAGAACTGATCATAATTCTTTACATTGGTTGACTTCTTTTAGGGAATTGGAAGGACAACTAGCTCGATGGTTAGAGAGATTGCAGCAGTATGATTTCCGGATAGTGTATCGAAAGGGAATACCGCATCAAAATGCAGATGGGTTATCTAGACGGCCATGTTCTCTGCCATGATGGCTGCAATTATTGTGATAAGGTGGAAGCTAGAAAGGAATCCAGTGAGGAAGGCTTAATAGCTCGAATAGTTTTGCAGGAAGATGTTCTGGAGGACAAAATAAGACAAAAAGTTTGGTTATTTAAATTCCTCAAAGAAGGAAGGGAAGGGCACCGAAATTATAGAATAATTGGGAGGGGCCTTATGAGATTGTCAGGCAGCTTAGTGAGGTAGTTTTTGGAATTCGCAAATCGACTAGGCATAGACAAAAGGTTGTTCATTCAGATAGAATAGCTCTATTTTTGGAAAGATAAACCCTTAATTCTATTTTTTTTGTTGCCAGGATGGTCTTGGGTGCTTCTGAAGTTTTGGTGTGGTTTTGACGTTCAAAGAGGAAAATGGGATTGGAAATTAAGCTGAAAATTTACAGTTTTCGGGAATATGCTTGTTAGTCGTCCAATGGAAGAAGACCGTCTCGCTCGCGGTTTTTTGGGCCCCGTGGTTTTTTTCGCGGGATTGAGGGCAAATGCCGAGACGGGGACAAAAAGAAATCCTTTAAGGATATTAGGGACCACGGGGAAGTTATACTCCCCCCCTTTTTGTCCGAAGACTTCGTCAAGACTGGAAGGACGAAAGAAGAGATTCGGATGGCGTTCAAGGAGGGCTAGCAGTTCTTAGGCTTTGAAGGAAACCGGAACAAGAAGACTGGCCCAAAAGGTCCTGGAGACTGATCATCTCCTAGAGGACAGGGATAGAAATGATCTTCTGAAGACAAAGAATCAAGATCCTCAGAATCCTTGATTGAGATCAGAAATTCATGGAGTCCGATAACCTGTAGCAGCAGCTCAGGGTAGGACAAGAGTCATGAAGATCTCTGGAGTCAAGGGAGAGAATGACATTGCCTAGGAGAATTGTCGGGAGGACAATTTGAAGAGACGGGGGACAATGTTCCCGTATGTACGTCTTGCCGAACGTGGAATGTGTCGGCGCTCATCTTAGCAACCGTTATTACCGTGGTTGTTGTTGTTGACAGCAAGGGTAACTTTCTGTGAAGCGATCGAGCGGCTCGGTAAAATTACGTTGAGAGATTCCTCTGAATAATTGTTCTTGTTTGCAAGCTTTGTACAAAGCTTAGTTTATATTAAAGAGTTCTTGTTATTTGTTCACGGGAGTGTTGCTTACTATTTACGCGGGAGATCGTGAGTGAGAGGAAAACGACGCTTGAACGTATTGTAACAATATATTACAAAATATTGCTATATATTTTCGTTTTATAGGAAAGAACAAATTTTCGTCATACTGAGAAGTTAATGACTGAGACAAATGGCAACATGCAATTGTATGTTATATACATCCAAAGTAAACAAAGAAACACTTTTATTCCAAGGTGACGGGTGGTTTTCTAATCTTCTGTGTCCGTTGCTAAGCAACTCCGATTGTAGCACTTGATCTCTATTTAAATTATATAAAATATTCCACGTTTTATATTCATTTTCACTTTTAAATTTTTATAATTTCTTTGAAAGCTATATTTATCAAATTAATATTAATCCATCAAATATTGTTACTTCCTTACATATTAATATTTGCAACGTGGAAATTGGAAAGTTAAGTAGCAGTGGAAAAGAATAATTTTGATTTATATTTATCGATATAATATATCTAATAATCTAATCTTATTTATCTAATAATCTAAATATCTAATTTATTGTTATGAAATTTATCGTTATAATGTAATATAATATTTATCGCAAAATGTAATATTTTAATCAGCTGTCAGTTTGCTTTGCAATTTCAATATAATAATTCATTTGTTATCATATCATATCAGAAACACATAGAAAAAGGAATTAGTTACAAAGTTTTGTCCTAAGTATGGATGGTTAAGATCATTTATATAGCAAAAGTTATAATTTAGCAATAGTAGCAAAATCTTTTTATAATTATTACTAAAATTATGTTTTAAAATTCATCGCTAGCCCTGAAAATCTATGTAACATATATTACATGTACTATAGACTTTCAGTGTTAGCAGTGAACACAATTTTAATAATGATTACAAAAAATTTTGCTATTATTACTAAACTATAGCTCTCGCTATATAAATGACCCTAATTAATCATAATTACAACAAAATCTTTGCAGATATTCTTTTATTCGCGCAATATATTCTACACTAATCAATAGGTAAATTTTTCACTGATTAGATCAATATACTTTCGCTGACTCATTCAGCATTTCCAAGTTTCACTATTTTACCAGCTGAATTTCACTGATTTTCAGATATATTGGTTTGGCAATTAAGTAATTGCGGTTTTTTTTAAAGAAAATAAAAGGTAATTTTTTCATGGAACGAAATAACTTTATGCAGTAATGTATTGTCCATTTTTATCAATGATCTTTTGTCATCTGTCAGGCAGCATAATTCCACGTTCATAAATTTCTGGCTTTTATCGGTAAAAAACTGAACCAAGTGCGATTTGACATCATCATTATTGAAATTTTTACCATTCAAGAAGTTTCGCAAATAACGAAATAAATAACAATCTGATGGTGCAAAGTCAAAACTATATGATGGATATGGCAACACATTCCAACCATGCTCCAATAATTTTTGCCGAGTAACCAAAGTATGTGGCCTTGCATTGTCATGGTGGAATACAATACAACTTTTCGATTTGCCAGTTCTGGTCGCTTTTCTTGAATTGCATTCAGTTTGGTTAGTTGTTAAATGTATACATTTGAATTGATCGTTTGGTTGCGGGGTAAAATGTCAACAAAATGTCTCCACGATCTTTTTCGATTGACATTGTTGTAAACAACCCATTTTTCATCGCCAGTTATCAATCGTTTCAAAAATGGGGCATTTTCGTTACGTTCATAAGCAAATCGCAGATGTATTGTGTTAAGTGAATTTCTTTAAATTCATGAGGAACCCATAAATCGAGTGTTTTTACATAACCAAGTTATTTTAAACACTTTTCAATGCATGTATATGATACATCAAGCTTCTCTGTAATCTCACGTGTTGTGCTATAACGATCCACGTCGATTATTGCTTTGATTCGGTCTACATCAACTTCGCCTGGACGACCAGAGCGTTGTTCATCTTTGAGTGAAAAATCACCAGAACGAAATTTAGCAAACCAATGTTGATACTATCGTTCTTTTAAGGCTTTGTCACTATACACAGCATATAACTTTTTTTGAGCTTGCGTTGCGTTTTTTCTTTTGCGAAAATAAAAAAGCAAAATATGACGAAAATGCTCGTTTTATTTTCCCATTTTTCAACCGAACAATTTTTCAGCAAACAAAAACTACACAACCGATCGATATCGAATTTTTTTATTGAATGCTAATTGAAATACCAACTATCAAACAGCAATATGGGTTTGACTTTTTGGATACGTAGATATACCTAAAAATTCAACTATCGTCATTTGTCAGTAAAATCCGCAATTACTTAGTTGCCAACCGAATACATACTGACACTAATAATGCATTTAGTGAATACTTACAGACAATCAACGACTATTCACTGTTTCAGATTTAGAGAGAATAGCACTTAAGCCACAAATCTCTTCACAATGAATGATCATATTTTCAAGTTCAAGCACTTACCGAGCTGAAAAAACTGAAGCGATGTATAAGGATGAAGACATAGGTTGACACCACCCACGATAGCTGCATCACATTCTCCACTTCGTACCATTCTGTAAGCTTCTGCAATAGCGAAGTGGCTTGAACTGCAGGCTGTGTCCACGGTATAAGATGGTGCGGTAAGGCCGAGCCAGTGAGAAATGCTGTTCGCCAACCAGTATTTACTGCAGCCAATAATTGGGTATCCAGCTGCCTAATTGGAAGTAAATTACGTTCATATTAGTCTTTATCTCTTATTTCTTTACTTTTCTTACCCCCTACATGTATATGTTCGCGCTTATGTATATGTAAAATAAACTTTTTATTAGTTATAATACAAAAGAGTCTCAAACAATGTGTGTGTCAATGTGAATTAACTGTTTTCATAGCCTCGTCTAATCGTGTAACACTATCTAGTGTTTAATATTTGCAACGTTCTTATCATTTCTCTATATTGGATATTTAATAAGTTCCGGCATGATCAAATATTTCGGAACTAAGACCACAGTTACCGTTATAATATTTCAAGAAATATATATTTGAAAGAGAACGGTACAACGTTTATTTGTAATATTATTACGTTTATTTGTAATATTATTATTCCGAAAAGTTTCTTTTCCGTAATATTCGGCTGTTTTAAAACTGCTTTTATATCCTTAATATCATAAAGTATTATACTTCAGTCTTGTAATAAAGGATCTCGTTGGTCGCTTCAGAGTAACATGATCCTATGAAGACACCAGTTTTTGTCCCTCGCAATTCTTTAGGATTTACTCCAGCGTCGATAATCGCTTCGTAGGTGTGCTCGAGCAACATCCTGCACATGGGATCGGTAACATGCGCCTCCTCAGGTGAAATATTAAAGTATTGCGCGTCGAACTTGTCTGCATTATTAACTTTCCCCATTCGAGTTGGCATATCATAATAAACTATAAAAATTCCAAACGTTCATGTTCTGTACTAAGAATATAATCTGCTGAATTTCGATTATTTTTTCTTTTTGCCTTTTGCTTAGTATGTATTATAATTCGTGTGGTTACCATTACTCCACCGTCGATTGTCGTCCGAACCGAGATCCACTTTGTTCAAGAGATTTTCTTGCAACTCCTTCATATTGTTTGTTTCAGGAAACCGACCAGCGATACCGGAAATCACAATTTCTTCACTCGGAGGAACTTTTACATATGAGTTATATCTTCCGCTAGCCTCCATACTTTCGTCCCACTAACAGATCTTTTCGTACAGAAGACGGAGTGCAAAATGTTTTCTACTTTTTCGGACAGAAACAAATATAACGATCAAAAGAGGTGTTGAGTGAATCTACCATCTACAATCTACGAACAATCTTCCCGCGTGAGAGAATTTTATTTAACCCATTTGCATCACAGCTCTAAATATGCAACTAACTTCGGAAATCTGAAACGTTCAACTGACAGTCGGCCTGTATCTTCGCGCATTAACGCACATCATTGACGAAGAGTGAACGTCGTCGTGAACGTATTGTTCCGCGGTTGCTGATAAGTGAACGTCGTGGCTCGCGGAATATTCCGCAGCTAGTAATAAGTGACGATCATTATGCGCGGATTATTCCGCTTGCGGATGCAAATGGGTTAATCAGAGACACGGTCGTATCTCGCGCCAAGTTCATGCGCAGCAACGGCGAGGCGGATGTATTTATACGCGACGTGTCTAAATTGGGAAATATCGCCGATATCGGATTTCAATAACGGCTGAATGGATTGATTTCACATTAAGCTTAATCGATAGCTTGGGGACGAATTATATAATGAAAATAGTTTTATTTTTGCGCTACGTATCCTAGGATCAGAATTATTACGATGCACAGTGAAAAATGTGAAACTTCTTAATAAAAAACGTTGTCGTCGTCGGAATTGTCCTTTTCCAATTTCTAACACAAGAAGGTACGTACTAGTAACGCTTGCAGTCGATAACGCGCGAAGAGTGTGTACACCAAATCGCGTTTCAATCGTTTATTGCGTGTTATAGCGCAATAGTGTAAACTTTAACATTAGTAAACTTTAGCGCAATAGTGTAAACTTTAACATTAGTAAACTTTAACATTAGAAGGACCGGATTTGACGATTCCTTTAGAAAGATCGTAAGAGCCAATTTGGCTCCAAGCATACCTTTTCGTAAATTACAAATAGAAAGAAATTAAACATATAGGTAATTATAAAATTTAAAGTTTTAACAGTAATATCATTAACTTATTGAACAAAAAATTGTTAGTTATATTGAATTTTTTTTAGTCTTTAGTGAAAAACTAAACGTGAAGTACAACGCCGTTATGTACTACAGAAAAGGCATTTGTACATAATTTTCTTCGTACATTTACCGCATACAAATTTTTTACGCGAATAACATTTTCCAACTTTATGGTTTATTTTGCAGTTTTTTTATCTGACAAAATGGTCGTTTGCCTAAAGCATCGTCGGATTCAGTTTCTTCTCCAGTTGTATTAAAATTTTGGGACTTTCGTCTTTGGGCAACATATGGCGCATTTAACTCTTCCGCGAGATTTTGTAAAAAGATTCTTCTTGATTTGTTTTATACATAACTTGTTTGTATATAATCCATGCATTTATAACAACAAAATCCAAACTATTATAAAAAATATGAACTGGTCAACGGCGAGATGTTATATATATATCTATGTGTACATATGTATGTATTATATAATTGTTTTTCAAGCGAACAAATAGATAGATACATATGAAAATATTGATTTATCTATTTAAAGTCATAAAACATAAATAAATCCATAAAACATGTGAGAATGCAACATTAGATATAAGAGAGCCAAATTGGTTCCAACGGTCCTTCTAGATAATGTTCGTGCCTATTAACATTAGATAATCCATGCACTTATAGCAACAAAATATTGTAAAATCTCTGAACTGGCCAACGGCGAGATGTATATCTATGTGTACATATGTATGTATATAATTGTTTTTCAAACGAACAAATTGATAGGTGCACATACAAATATTTATTTATCTATTTAAAATCATAAAACTTATAAATAAACTCATAAAACATGTGAGAATGCAATATTAAATGTAAGAGAATCAAACTGGCTCTAACAGTCTTTTTAGGTAAACAATTAAATAAAAATTTAACCATCTTACATAATTGAAAAATTTTTATACCAATATTAAGAATATGATAAATGATGAAAAGTCACAAAAGGATATCACGTGGAGACAAAGTTGAAAAAAGTTATAGCAGTTTGAATTTCGCGAGAAGCCAAATTAGCTGCCTCGGTCTTACTAGTGTTAATGCAATGGGAATGTAATTTGCAATGGGAAGTTTTACCACACCCGGCATATTCTCCAGATATTACCCCATCGGATTTTTACTCACTTCGTTCTATGTAGCTCAGTCCTTTTGGCACACGATTTCGCAATGTTGATAAAATGCAACAATTAGTCCATAAATTTATTCATTCTAAGAACAGACTTCATTTATCGTGGCATTCATCTTTTGCCTGAAAGATGGCAAAAAGTAATAAATAATGCTGGAAAATATTTGGTTAAAGATACTATATCATTTATGATAATACTAAATAAAGAACATTATCAAAAACTATGAAAATTTTTGCATTACCCTTGATAAGATGACGAGAAACGTGTAAAAAAAGCTTCAGCTGATTGCACGCTTCTACGTATGAAAAAGAAACGTTCGAATACGCAGTGTAAAAATAGAAGGACACATGGAACAATTATTGGAAATAAAGTAATAATAAAATAGTATTAATGATATGATAAAATATTCGTTTGTTTATTCATCGCGTGCAATCAATAGAAGCACCCATATAACTCGCGTTACCAAAATCGAAAAACGTTTGTAGTTCTTAACATTGTAGTTGATTTTTTAGCTTGTGTTTACTAAGGACTTTTTACTCGCAAGGGGAATATCAGAAGTGGACCGTATTTCTCAAATGCGATTTGTTGCAATAGGCAATCCTTCATGTTTACAATAAAAACCTCAAACATTAGCTTCAGATACTTTTCTTTTACAAATTACAAAAAATATAAAATATAGATGTCATCGAATCGACTAATCGCTTGGCAGCGCGATAGATTTTAAGGAAAGCAGGAAAGAAATGAAGTAGCAAAATGTTACAAGTATTATTTCTGTTTTTAATACTCTGTATAACGGAAGTCTATTACAAGTCAGTCTTTTAGGTTTTTATATTTTATATAGACATTTTGTTACGATAATTTATTTGATATAATCAAGCGTATATACTTACGATGAATATTGTTTTCAACGATGATATCAGAAGACGTGAAAAGCCAACCGATATGATTATAAAACCACTGTCACGAAACACTCGCGACAGAATGTTCTTAAATTCATATTGCACGCACATCTTATATACGTTCTTAAAAACATAGCGTCATGACGGAAATTAAAGAAGTGCATTAGAAAAGGTTAAAGGTGCGATATTTATTTATGAACTCATTGTCTATTCGATTCTGCGAAAATGTTTAGTTAATGAGTCTAACGTACTTTGCATCTTAATTTATAACGTGACGAATTAGAAAAGTTCTGAGTATATTTAAATAACTAATTCTATTCTATCTACTTTGCGCGATTAAATGTACAAAGTTTAATTTCCGCAATACCTTTTTTTTATCACGGTGGAGAAATCCGCCATTACTATCTGACATTAAGGCTATAATCGAACTAAATCCATCCCAATCGGTACGAGAGATTGCTACGACATTGAATACATCCCACACAAGCGTAGAAAAGCATTTGCGCCAGCTGGGATACGTTTCTCGGCTTAATGTTTCGGTGCCGCATTAATTAACCGAGGCTAACTTGATCACACGCATATCCATTTGCGATTCTCTACGGAAATGCCAAGAAAACGATCCAATTTTTTAAACGAATGGTGATGGGTAACGAAAAATGGGTCGTCTACGATAATGTAATACGTAAAAGATTATGGGGGCACAGCAACGAGCCAACGCAAGCAACCTCGAAAACGGGATTGCATCCGAAGAAAATAATGCTCTTCGTATGGTGGGATTTCAAGGCTGTTATTTATTATGAACTGTTACCGTCAGGCAAAGCAATTGATTCAACTGTATACTGTTCGCAATTGACGAAATTGAACCAAGCAATCCGCACAAAACGTCCAGAATTGGCAAATCGCAAGGGTGTCGTCTTCCACCACGACAACGTCAAACCTCATACGTCTATACCACTCGGAATAAATTGCTTCAGCTTGGCTGGGATGTTTTGCCTCATCCTCCGTATTCACCAGATCTTGCCCCTTCCGATTATCATTTATTCCGGTCGCTGCAGAACTTTGTGAACGGGAAAACCTTCAAGGATGAAGAGGCCGTTAAAAACCACCTGGATTGGTTTTTCGCCGATAAGCCTCAAATGTTTTATGAACGCGGCATAATGAAGTTGGTGGAAAGATGGCTAGAGGTCATCGAAAAAGATGGCCAATATACAATTGATTAAAATTTATCTTGTGTATCAAAAAATTGTGTTTTATTTTATTCTAAAAAACCGAACGAACTTATTTGCCAATCCAATATTAAATAAGTTTAAGCTCGATATAGATCTTGGTGCAGTCTCCTCTCTTTCTCCCTCTCCCTCTCTCCCTCTCTCCCTCTCTCTCTCTTCCTTCCCTCCCTCCTCCCCTTTCTCTCTCTCTCTCTCTCTCTCTCTCTCTCTCTCTCTCTCTCTCTCTCTCTCTCTCTCTCTCTCTCTCTCTCTATTCTAGCATTCTCAAATTTATGTGATATTTTTATCCTGCTATTATGCACTATACGTATTGAATTTTCGAACTAAAAGCGTCCCGACAAAACCTTGTCTGAATTTCGAAAACGAATCACCCATCGATGTTTCTCTAACTTTGTTCACAGGACTTGTATTAAAGTGTGATATAATCACTAACCATTACGGATCGTTCAATATATGTATAAATATCTAAATGCTTATAACATTATAACAAGCGTTAATTTTATAATTTACTATTATTCGGCTCAAACAGTTAAACAAGTGATGTTTAAGTTCTGAATTTGTTGTTTCTACGTTCTAAAAGAAAAGGGAAAATGTAATTTGATAGATACGTCCTGAGGAGGAGGAGGAACGTAACTGGATGCTTGCTTTCGCCAGCTCCGATGTACTAGGAAGTCTGCGGTGCAGATCAAATATCGAAATGACTCCTTTATCTGGCATGGACGTACGTCGCTGGTCCTTTATTTAAGTCAGGGGACCGAATCCCTTTACCTGGGATAGGATCGTGAGCAACAGTTGAGAGAAGTGGGCTAGAGAGTGATTTTTAAATCAATTATGGAAAATGAACAATTAACAAAATTTATTAAAATTACGGTAACAAACAGAATGGGAATAAAACTACAGAGATTTATCAACGGCGCGATTTACAAGATACAATTTACAAGGACGCGATTTAATTTCATATCGAATAAGGAAAATTGTATGTGTGCATTATACGTATATGTGTGTGAGGGATATACTCAGGAGGCAAAGAAGAGAGGAAGAAGAAGTAAGAAAAAGGGAGAAAAGTGGATCCAAAGAAGATTAAAACGGAAATATAAATAAGAGTGTAAAAAATAAAACTTATTGCTGCTTCTATGGTATTTGTTGGAGATGAAGAGAGTAATTGCTGCGGGTCTGTGGGGGTGGATGACCCAAGTTCTGCGCCGAGAATCAGGGGCTCGTTTCAGCTGGATTACTCACAATGGTCCAATAGTACGCGAGAGCGTTACACAGAATAATCAATGACTGGAGAAACACTAATCTGTCTAAGCCACTAGTAGGCTAAATTGTTAGAGAGACCCTGAAGGAGTGCTGAAGAGGAGCTTCTGATCTGTCTTGGCTGCTGGTCTGACGGAAAGTGACATAGCCTTTTTTTTACTCAAATCGTCACCTCAGTTGAGAGGGTAGGATTTTGGAAGTTGATCAGGGATCTAAGGTTTATATCCAAATATGGTCATAGGACTTTGTTGCAATGATTTTTTGAAGTGGGATTTCAATAGTGCGTTGCAGTATCTCAAAAATAAATATTGTAAGAGATGGGATACATGTGCAGTAAAAAGATTTCAAAGTTTCGTTAGGTTTAGTTAGAGTTGGTGCGCAATAAAATTTATGAAGGGACGTGGAAAAGGCATGAATTCTTGAAAATCAAAGGCTAGTCACGTCATGTAACAGTATGAGAGATTGACCGGTCGGTCCATCTTCAAAGAAAATTGTTGTTCTGAAGAAGGAAGTTATTAAAAATTTTGGAAGGGAAACGCCTGGCTAAAATAACTCGGTAGAACTTCTGGAGGAAATTAGAGAAACTCAGCAATTACGCTTCCAGAAGGAAGGACAAAAAAAAGAGAAATCGGTATGTAACGTTATCTCTCATCCCACTCATTCCTCATGCTTGAGGAATCGTGGGAACGTGTTTGTTAAGTAAGAACATTTGAACGTATAATGAGTAATATAAAATTCGCTTTACTTATAAAAAGAATTTAGAGTACGCGGAGTCCGCAGGACGCAACAGATAAAAGAATTACCTATTTCTCTTCTATACTGTCTCTGTCTACATCGCATAAAAGTATCGCGGAAATTGAAATTTGTACATTCAGTCGCATAAAGTAGATAGAATAGAATTAGTTATTTTAATATATTCAGAACTTTTCTGGTTTGTCACGTTATAAATCAAGATGTGACGTACGTTAGACTCATTAATTAAACATTTTCACAGAATCGAATAGACAATGAGCTCATAAATGAATATCACACCTTTAAACTTTTCTAATGCACTTCTTCAATTTCCGTCATGACGCTATGTTTTTAAGAACGTTATACAGGGTGCACGATTTATCTGAAGACATTGAAATATCTCGAGAACTATGCATTGGATAAAAAAAAGTGGTTAATGAAAGTTGTTAGTCTCGAAGGGGGACATCCAATGATACAAACTCGACCTCCCACCCCACCCCCTGGCGGTGGGGGTTGGGGGCAACTTTGAAATCTTAAATGGAAACCCTCATTTTTTATTGCAAATACGGATTCTACGCCACAAAATACGTAAATTTTGTCCGAAACTTTTTTTTGATTCGTGATAGATGGCGCTGTAATCGCAAAAAATTATATTTTCTGCAATTCTCCAGAAATGATCATTGGGTTGAGAAATAAAAAATACCTGTTCAATATTTTTAAAGAACATAATAAAAGTTATTCCCCCCCATCCTCTCGGGGTAGGGTGGGTAGTAACGTTCAAATCTGCATGACGGTTGCCCAGCGCATAACTCAATAGCAGCACGGGAAGTATTAGACCGTGATTACAATGGTCGGTGGATTGGCAGAGGTGGCTCGATTAATTGGCCTGCTAGGTCGCCTGATTTGACATCGCCGGATTTCTTTCTGTGGGGTTACCTAAAAGATAAGGTTTATCAACAAGTGCCAACAACTCGTGAAAACATGGTAGAACGCATAAGAAACGCTTGCGCTGAAACGCGCGCAGATATGCTTCTATCCTGTGTACAGTCATTTGAAAAAAGGATCAATAAGTGTATTGAAGTTGAAGGTAAAAATTTCGAACACTTACTCTAATTAATTGAACAGTGAGAGGCAAGGGGACTCACATTAAAAAAGCACCCGAAGGGAACATAAAACTACTACGTCCTCGTCGTTGTTCCTGTGTAACGCTAAAAGTAGTTTCTCGGAAAAATTCAACGCTATCTATCACGAATGAAAAAAATTGTTTCAATAAAAATTTCACGTACAATCTAATTCTGCAATGAAAAATGTGGGTCCCCATTTGAGATTTGAACGTTATCACCCACCCTACCCCGAGAGGATGGGGGGGGGAATAACTTTTATTATGTTCTTTAAAAATATTGAACAGGTATTTTTTATTTCTCAATCCAATGATCATTTCTGGAGAATTGCGGAAAATATAATTTTTTTGCGATTACAGCGCCATCTATCACGAATAAAAAAAAAAGTTTCGAACAAAATTTACGTATTTTGTAGCGTAGAATCCGTATCTGCAATAAAAAATGGGGGTTTCCATTTAAGATTTCAAAGTTGCCCCCAACCCCCACCCCCAGGGGGTGGGGTGGGAGGTCGAGTTTAGTATCATTGAATGTCCCCCTTTGAGACTAACAACTTTTATTAACCATTTTTTTTTATCCAATGCATAGTTCTCGAGATATTTCAATGTCTTCAGATAAATCGTGCACCCTGTATATCAACTAAAGCTTTGGAACGTTTTGCTGTCAACCGATTTCTTATCTCTGAGTGTACGTATCCCCAATATGAAAACAAACGTTCTAATTCTGCGGTTGATGCCGGTATGTC